AGCTGTCGGTGGTAGCTGGCTGCGTCAGCCCCGGGGGCAGGAGGTGGGGCTGGAACTAGATGGGTAACTCAGCAAGGTCGCCTCTGACAGCACTGGGCTGCAGGCTATCTCCATGGCAGACGCACTCTTGTTTTACGTTTCTCACGCCTGATACATTTAATCAGCTTTAGGAACCTTTCACATTAAGTCAAATTCACAAGGACACAGAGGAAGATGTAGCTCCTGGGCTGGGAGAGAAGGCTCAGTGCCTAAGAGCACTTCTCTTGTGGAGGACCCAGGATTAGTTCCAGCATTTACGTGGTAGCTCACAACCAACTGTCACTTCAGTTCCAGGTCTGACAGGTGCCCTCTTTTGACCTCTGTGGGCGCCAGGCACACATGTGGTACACATACATACATGCAGACAATTATCCACATATATCCTTTTTAAAGATGAAAATACTAAATAAAAGTTGTTCACCAAAGTTGTGGCATGGGTATTGGAGACATAGCCACTAAGGAACAGAAAAGCCTTTCCAAGGGAATTGAGAAAAATACGATCTGAAAATTCTGTCAAAGAGAATAAGCGGGAGTAAACGTAAAAGCGGTGTCTCTCAGAAGGAAGGAGCAGGGAACTTGTATTCAGACATGTGGCAGCCAAGCAGGAATGGCATAAGCAGAGCCTCTGCCTGAGGCACAGACAGACAGACACTCTCACTGTGCTTCTTATGGAAGGATAAGCCTAGCAGGCCAGGTCTTCGTCTTAGGGCCTGCCTGGTTCTTGGGAACAGTTATTAATGATAGTGGCAAACGGATGGCTGGATCTAGTAACTCCAAGACAAGACAGAGGAATAGGTCAAAGCTGGGGGAGTGCAGCCAACACCGAGCTGCCTTCGGCTCCATCCTCAGCACCACCTCCTTCCATGTGCAGACTTCCGTGTCAGAGTGGCCACACGCGAAAACAGTCATGACCCTTCATGGAAACAGACAGCATGCATGGTAATGCTTCTGTCTCTCTCTCCTCCACCATCCGTGGGACAGGCAGAATTTATTTTAAAAACTCAAGGGCTGGAGAGATGGCTCAGCACTTGTTGCCCAGGTTCAATTCCCAGGATCCACATGGTTGCTCACAATCATCCATAACCCCAGTTTTCAGAGATTTGACTCTGTCTTCTAAACTCCACAGGCACCAGGCATGAGCTTTGTGCACATACATACAGGCACACAAAACACTCACACACATAGCATGAAATAAATAAGTAAATTAAGTTTGTTTTTTTAAAGGGGTTGGCTTTCGGGACTTTGTAGTGGATGGCATGGTAGTACACTCCTGTAATTCCAGCAGTTGGGAAACCGAGGTACAAAGACTGTCATGAGTTCTAGGCCAGCCTGGGCTATATGGCGAGTTTGAGGCTAATCTGGGCTAGATAATTAGACAACCCAGTGCTACAAAACAGAAAGAGAGAAGAAGAAGAAGAAGAAGAAGAAGAAGAAGAAGAAGAAGAAGAAG